GGTTCTGGGAGATGAGGTCGCACAGCTCGTGCCACAGCTGCGGGGCCCGGGAGAGAGTCTCAGCCGCGGCCCCCGAGGAGGCAAGCCCTCTCTCCCGGCTCCCCACCAGCCCACCTGGTAGTTGGACTTGCCGGCCTTGGACACGAAGCGCTCGTCATTCACCACCGTGGCCAGGCGCTGTGCGGCCTCGTCCAGCCGGTCGCTCGACTTGAGGTACTCGATGTACTCCTCTGCGCTCTCGGGGCTCAGCTGGCACCGACCCGCCCCGGCAGTCAGCGGGGCTGCAGGGCCACCCCACCATATCCCCCACCCACTTAGGGGCTCCAGGCCTCCTGTCAGCCACCCACCTTGTCCCGGCCAAGAGCCATCCCTGCTGACCCAGCCTTGGCCACACCCCTCAGCCTGGACCTCACTGGTCCAGCCTTGACTAGTGGTCCAGCCTGGGCCCCACTGGTCCGGCCTAAATCCTGACTGGTCCAGCCTGGGCCCCACTGATCCAACCCCAGCCCTGACTGGTCTGCCTTAGAGACCAAGGGTCCAGCCTGCACAGGCCAGGCCTTGCCTTCACCACCAGCCCTTACCCAAACAGCACTGTGCTAACGGTTTCCTGATATATAACAGATGGCATAAGTTTGAGAAAACTGCACACTCCCACCCAGTTTCCACCTCGACTCTCCACCCGCCTGTTATACGTTCTCATAGCCATTTATCTCCCATTCCTTGCCCTCCCACGGCTGTGGTTTTACTCAGGCTTACGTGATCAGCTCATGCACATCTGTCTATCCAGTTAGACTGAAAGCTCCCTGCAGGCAGGGGCTGTCTCAGTCACACTGTCCCCAACACCTGTCTCTGCCTGATGGTAGGCAGGTGCTAACAAACGATCTGGAGAATAAACAAATGAATCACAAACAAAAGACTGTCTGTCTCAAGGAACCTTTTTCCCACATCCTGCCTGTTAGGTGACATGCCACATGGGGCAAGTGTCCCAGTGAGAGTTTTGGGAATTCTTGACCTGGGGAACTGGCCCATCCACCCGATGGGCTCACCTTGAGGAAGCGCCGGTAGCCCCGCACGGCCGTCTCCGGCAGCGGGTGTGAGCGCAGGAAGCGCAGGTACAGGGGCCAAACCCGAGAGTGCTGGGTGATGGGCAGCGCCCGGAGGGCACGGTCGAAAGTGCGGCGGGTGTGTGTGACGCGGCCCTGGTCCATCAGGAACTGGCAATAATCTAGCCACAGACGGGGCATCTGGAGGCGTGGGGAGAGGCAGGCAGGTCTGAGCCACCAGCCACCAGCCATCACGGCCTGGCCACACAGACACATGGATGTCCTACAGCCAAGAACGCAGCAACACCCAGAACCTCCATCCCTGTGGGACTAAATCCAGCTCAACTTCAAGTGCACAGAGGCAACAGACTCCAATCCCCTCTGCCTTGTCCACCTCCATGGACTCTGAGCCCGCCTCCCACCCATCCCCTGGCCTAACCCCCACCTTGTGCATGAACACGAAAGCCCTCTCGTGGCAGTTGTTGACATCTTCATAGGCAGGATCGGTCACACAGCGATGCTTCACTTGTGCCCGGCGAGCCTTGAGATATCGGTACCAGAGTTTGTAGCTGGGGAATGGGGGAAGGGGCAGACAGTATCGGTCAGCTTTATGAACCCCAAGAACCCTCCGCTCTGCCCCAGGAGGCAACTGCTGGGAAAAGGGGCCCGACGAGGGGTGACTAGTCTCAGCAATGGGGGGATGGACTGGGACACTAGGGAAGCTGTGCTGACCAATCGGGGGATGTACACTACTGATGGAACACAATAGCCATCACCTGGGACCTACTGTCCAGTTTTGTTATGAGTGAACAAGGTGCGGTGGGGGCTGGGACGGGCAGGGCAGCGATAGCCATTCCCACCTGCAGGGCAGCAGCTTCAGCGCCCGCTCATACAGCTGATTGAGTCTGGGTTTCGGGGCACCCTGTTTGAACTCGATGTAGCGGAGCCAGCATTTGACGGAGAACTGGTTCCGCATGATTTCCTCCTCATAGGGGAGGTCTTCTTCCTCCTGCCGGCCAGGGAATGGGGAACAGAGAGACCTGCCCTCAGAGCCTGAGCGCAGCACCACTCCACTCCAAACTCCAGAGCTTTACCCAGACCCCACTGCCCACCGTCGGAGCCAGGTCACCAGATGCCCAGATACCAGGACTCAGACTTTCACACCCCAGAATTCTACTACCCACATTCTGTTCCAGATCATCAGACTCCTCAGTCATAGGTGCTAGGCCAGATATGAGACTACCACCCTGACATCCTTCTTTTGGCCTTCCTAATCAAGCTACCCACTTTCTGGCCCCGACTCCTTAGACACCAGGGCCCTGCCCTGATGCCAGGCCTCTGCCCTGGACACCAAGCCTTACCTCCTCACAACACGCCTCTTCCCAGACACCAGGGACCTCAGGCTCCCACTAGCCAGAGCCTAGCTCAACTCTGCCCCAGAACTTGGAAGCTAAACCCTTATCTCAAGAGAGATATGCACCATACGCCAAGCTTTTAACTCTAACACCAAGCATTTAGCGAAGATGTCAGGCCTATACTCCAAACACCAAGTCTTGGACTCTTCAGGATCCCACTGGCAATCACCCGACCAGCTCCACACCAGGCCTTTATTTTCGACTCCAGAGTTCTCCTAGGCCAGACACCAAGCCTTTATCCCAGAAACTATAACGCTCAGGACCAGACCTAGACCGTTACCCAGAACACCAAGCCTTTACCACAGAAACCAGACGCCTGGCCGGGTCACCATGCCTTTACTTCAGACATCAGTCCTCTCAAGATTTAAATGTGTGAATCTCCCTCCCCTCTCACTCCCCGCGCGCTCCCATTTCCGCTCCAGGTCCGGCATGACAGGCCCCTAACCTCGACAGCAGCTCTTTCCTCAAGCCACGAAGGCCCCGGCACCAGACTCTTACTCCTGGTCAGCTTGGTCCGGACATCACCATACGGCCTCTGGCCCGTTAGGATCCCCCACCCCTCGGGCCAACATAGCTTTGGCCTAGATCCCCCCTGCGGCCAGGCCCCGATCCCCTGCGGCACTCAGGCCCCGATGCCTCCACGCCGGCCACCCCTGAGCCCGCCGCGGACTCACGAAAACAAGGTCCGGCCGCTCGGACCGCGAAGGCCGCGCCATCACCACCATCTTCCTGGCTCTCCAGGTACGGGCAGGCGTCGCGTTATAATGATGTCTCCCGCTGAAGGCCCGCCCTCCCGAGCCAAACCCATTTTCTATTGGCTGAACCCTTCTCTACCGCGCGGGCGCGTTGTTGACTTTCGCTTACACAACGCCAGCGACCGGAAGCAGAGAGGAGGCGCTCGAAGATGACGTTGTCCCCGGAGTTCCTCGACCAATCAGCTTCAGCGGTGGAGCCCGCGAACTCCCAATGAACTGCTGTCTTGGTGGAGAGTTGGCTTTGGGCGGAAGCGACTTTGTAGCCTCGGAGAAGCGAGATGGGGGTGAAGCTGGAGGTGTTTCGGGTCAGTGAGCCCCGGAGTGCGTGGGCACCTGGGCAGGAGGGTCTTTCTGGATCTGAGGAGGAGGCTCTGAAAAGGGGGACCTCCAAAAAAAGGCTCCTGAGAGTTGAGAGGGATCTTTACGGTTGGAAACCCAGAGAAGGGGGCGCTGGGTTAGGGGGGAATCTGGGAGGGCTGGGGTAAGGAAGGGCCTCTGAGAGGGGTGATCTGGGGTGGGGGCTCCGAGAAGGAAGGCTTCAGACCCTGGGGGAGCTCTCGGGCTCATGGTCGGTGGGTGTCTGTCTCTGATAGGGAGACTCCTAGACTTAGAGGAGTAGATTCTGAAGAGTGAGGCCTCCTGGATTTGGGGGTGCTCTTAGGATCTGACTGGGGGGCATAATGAGGTCTCAAGGAGACAGCTTTGGTTGTAGTAAGAGCTCGTGTGCTCCTGGGGCCGGTGTATGTGTGTGTGAGTGTGGGTCTGTCTGTCTTTGAGAAGGAGTCTCCCAGACTCGGAGGGGGCTTTCAGGAATAAGATGTTTTGGCTTATGGGGGCTAGATTTTAAGGTGTGTGGCTTCTGCACCTTTGGTGGGAGTTCTGGGGTTCTTGGAGGGGGCGCCCTGAGGAGGCGCTCTTAGGTTCTGCTGGAGGATGGTCCTCTAGGCTCTGAGTAGCCTTTGCACACTGAAGGAGATAAGGTAATCCCTGCTTCTGCTCATTTCCCTTGCTCTTCCCTTCCAGATGACGCTCTACCTCACCTTCCCTGTGGCTATGTTCTGGATTGCCAATCAGGCCGAGTGGTTTGAGGACTATGTTGTACAGCGCAAGGTGGGCACAGGGAGAGTGTTTCATGGGTTCAGTCCAGGGGGAGGATATGAGGCGCCAACCTGCTGGGGACCAATGTCTGCCTCCCATGAGCCAACCTTGCTCTGGTTGTGGGGCTCTGGAGGCTCCTGGCTTGTGCCTCCATCTCTGATTTTGTCCCCACAGAGAGAGCTGTGGCCACCTGAGAAGGAGGACCAGGTAAGTGACATACTCTTCCTCCAACCAGAGGGACGGAGGAGCCTGGACCCCTGTGGCCATGGTGGATTTGAATGAAAATTTTACCCTCAGTCACGGTCAGAGAACTGAGAGCAGAGGGGCGTGTGGTGTCCTTTTGCCCTCTCCCTGAAAGATGAAACTGATCCCAATTGGACCTTGGTTATAATTGGCACAGGGCTTCCAGTGTAGACACTGAACTCTCAAGCCGTGGCCTCGGGGGTACAGGGCAAGGTGGTGGGAGAGGGGTTCAGGCCCTGAGGTGTGTGCCCCCCTCCTTCCTTCCTGTCCCACCCCCTTCCCCACCCCCAGCGCCAAGAGCTAGAAGAATTCAAAGAGAGGATACGGAAGCAGCGGGAGGAGAAGCTCCTTCGAGCTGCCCGGCAGAGCTCCTGAGCCTCCAAGTGCCTGAGTCGTAGGCCCTCCACCCAGAAAATAACACACACATGGTTCTTTGTTGCCCGTGGAAATGTTTTATTGTCTGTTTTCGGGGGCCAAGTGGGGCCCAGGACGGTTCAGGCCCTCAGGGGGCTTGTGTCTGGGGCTGGGGGCTGCTGTTCCGACGGAAGCTGAGAGCAGACGGGTCCTGGGGGGTGAGGAGGGGTTGGGGGCTGAGGGTCCCAGCTCGTTTCTGCACTCCGTCCTGTGGATGAAGAGGGGTCAGCCAGAGGTGACACAGACACTGGAGGGAGGGTACAGGTGGCAACCTGTGTCCTTCCTCCTGCCGTCTTCCTCACCATCCCCAAACTTCTGTGTACTTTGGTTATTCAACATTTAGGGTAGTATTTGGGGATCTCACTGGGGTCTTGATCAGAATCCAAGTTAGGGGTGAGTACGTGTGATGTGGACACACGTGAGTGTGCGGATGTGTGTGTCCTTTGTATGAGCTCATGTGTCCTCCTTTCTGAGGGTGTCTTCCCAGACAGGAAGTCTGTTTTCTCTGGCCTCCTCTAAACCCTCAGACTTGGGAGCAGGAGCCATGACTTCCAGTGACGGCTCTAACGTTAACATGCCTCCTGCATGACCTTGCGCCCCTCTTGGCCCTGTCTGGGCCTCTGTCCTCCCGTCTGAAGTCAGATATGGGACTGGCGACGGCCCTGTGACTGGCAGGGAGACAGAGGGGACGCCCTTACCAGGCACTCATCCTTGGGGCAGATAATGGACAGAGGTGGGGGTGGGGCCCCATTCACTCCTGGCTGGGGGTGGGAGGCAGGCTCGGCCTGGCTGGTCTTTCCTCAGCCCCAGCAGAATATCACCTACCTTGGGGCCCACAGGCTGGAAGCCAGGCAGGGTGCTGACTGTCACGCGCTGGTCGTCCATGCGGCGGCCCTGGGTACTTGCCAGCATGTCCATGAGACTGTCCATCTCGGGTGTGGGGCCGCACTCTGTGTGGAGCAGAGGCACGTGGGGATAGACACATAACAGACTCCAGGGGACACAGCCCAGCTAGAGCCCCCAACCCACCTCTTCACCCCCACTCACATCCCCCAGCATGCACGCCGGTCTCTCCCCCGACCCCCTGTGCCCCGAGACCCACAGGCATCTGTGTCCCCAGTTGTCTGCTCACTTTCTCACACAGCCTCTTGCCCACAGTCCCCCCAGATGGGCACTTGCCGTGCACCCTGCCCCGTTCACGTCCCCCAGACAGACAGCACACCCACTCCCAGGCACCCCTGCTGCCCACTCTCACGGCTCTCGGCGGGCTGGTCTGGCCCTGCCTGCAGCGAGCAGCGTTGCTGCTCCATCCGGTCTCCCTGCACGTGGCTCAGAAGGTTGAAGAAGCCCTCCTGGTCTGGGGAGCCCGCCTGAGGACAGACACACTCGGTCTAGCCGGCCCCTCAGTTCAGGAACCCAGCATCTCCCCTCCTGGCCGGCCAGCTCCTGCTCCGACCCTGGAGCCTGGCCGCCCCTCCTCGGCTCTCACCATAGTCCGCGCGGCAGTGCTGCTCTGCAGAGCTGCTCCGAATGAGACCTGAGTCTCCTCAATCCCGGCCCCCGCCCCAGGGGCCCGGCCATCCATTTCACGTGGTGCTGCCTCAAGGGAGAGGCTGCCGGTGCCAGCGTCCTGCCGTCCTAGATTGGGGCCTGACTGGAGGGTGGCCTGGGGGCTGGGACATGAGCCAGGGAAATGGCCCAGGGGCCGCCCCCAAATCCCAGCGTCCCCCACCTCAGGGGGGGTCAGCACTGAGAGCCCTGACCTCTGTCCTAGGGTTGGCCCAGGCCCTCAGACCCTCCTGCCCACCAGCACCTCCCTGGGCAGCAACTGGGTCAGGGGTCCCAGGAGACTCCCTCGCTAATTAGGTGCTCTACAAACTAATTAGTCTTGTCATTCACGGGCCCTTGAATTGGGGGTGTGTGGGAGCGGGGCTGGCTTACCTTGACGCAGGTGGCCGAGCCCCCATCCTCTTTCTCTTCCTGGTCCATCATTGTCCCCGCTCCCCTCCCCTGGGCCTCGTCCACTTCTCCGCTGGCCTCTGCCCCGGCCCCGTGCCAGAGAAGGCTTTTTAAAAGACTGGGCTGTGGGGGGAGTGGATACCCGGCCCCAAATCCCCAGCTCACGCCCCATCTGTTCCCACCCAAGCTTAAGCCCCATAAAGATGATCCAGATAATTGTTTTTGCATCACGACACCGGGGCTGCCGTGGGGGTGGGAGGCAAGGTGACTTGGGTTTGGACCTTGCTGGCCCAGCAGGGCTCACTGGGCTCCAAGAACTAGGGTGGAGTGCAGGGGCTGGCTGGGCCTCACTGGGAGTCGACAGGCAAACAGGGCAGCTGGGCCGGGGTCTTCAGCCCACCCGTGGGAAGTGGTGCAGCTGCCCCGCTTGCCCACCAGTACCTGTGGCCTCACCCTGTTGGAAAGGCAGTTGCTATCTGCAGGTGGGGTGGGGGGAAGAGGAAGCTGGACCCGAGGACCCCCAAGGCACCACCAGCCAACCTAGCTCCATCTCTGTCTCCTGGCCACACTCCTCCCTCTACTCACTGTCCCTGGCTCTGGTCGCTCCCCACGGGCCCCAAGACAAGAAGGTCTGGGGGCTCCTGTCTCCCTGACACCAATGCCAAATTGTGCCTTGATCCGTCACCCAGGAGGAGAGCCCCGCCCCCTCCTCTGAACAGCTGTGGCTTCCCCTCGGTGCCCTGGGAGAGGATGCCGCTAGCAGGACCCCGGCTGCACCCCGTCCCCTCCCCAAGATGCCTTTCTGGAAACCAATTGAAGTTTCTTCTCAGAATAAACCGGCTGCGCTGTCACCACCCCTGCCCACGCACAAAGTTCAGCCCCCCTCTCCAGGCAGCCCTTCCCCACTTCAGGGCCCACGTTCACTCCCTCTCCACAGCCCCGAGTCCTCGATGCTGACGGGATGTCCTGCTCCTCCACAGATGTATTAGTTTCCCGGGGCTGCCTTAACAAAGCATCGCAAACTGAGTAGCTTAGAGCAACAGACATTTGTCACACAGTTCTGGAGGCCAGAAGTCTGAAATCCCGGTGTCGGCAGGGCCACGCTTCTGAAACCTGTAGGAGAGGTTCCTTTCTTGCCTCTCCTTGGCTTTCCATGGTTGCCAGCAGTCCTGGGTGTTCCCTGGCTCGTAGCTGCAATACTTCAGTCTCTGCCTCTGTCATCACAAGACGTTCCCCCTGTGTCCTTGTCTTCACACGGCTATCATAGGATGTGGACACCAGTCCTATTGCATTAGGGACCCACCGTACTGCAGTATGACCTCATCTTAACAAATTACATTTGCAACGTCCCTATTTCCAAATAAGGTCACATTCTGAGGTACTGGGGGTTAGGACTGCAACGTACTTTTTTGTGTTGGGGGGGGTTGGGCAGGACACCATTCAGCCTTTAACAGTGGAAGCCCCTGGTCACCCTCACTGAGTGTAGTAGGGGGTGGCAGGCCCTACAGACTCTCACCCCCAGGGTGAGAAGCTAGAGGTGGTCCTGGCTTCCTCATGGTGTCTCCCAGCTCCTCCCTCTGCCCCTGCAATCCATCCTTCCCCCCAGGGGCTGCAGGGGTCCCCTCCTTCCTCTGCTCAGAACTCTCCCTTGGCCCCCATTGTCCTCAGAAGAAAACCCAAACATCGTGGGGTAATAGAAATGTTCCAAAATTGACTGATGGTGGATGCACAACTCGGAATATGCAAGAAGCCATTGAATTGGACACTCTCAGTGAGTGAGTTGTGTGGGATGTGAATTATATCTCAGTAAAGCTGTGAAAGAAAGAGATTTTCCTGGGGACGTTTTAGCCCTGTGCGTCCTGTGTCCTGGGAACCTCTCAATCCCAGGCATACCAGATTGGGATAGTCCTACCTTGTCTCTCTGAAGAAGTCTGGCCTCTGCAGCCCCTCCAACCTCACCTCCTGCCCAACCCCCCTTCCCGGGCCTCATCTCACTCCTGCCACTCATTCAGGCTCATCCCTGGTCTTCTCAGCCTGGATCACTGCCTGGCTGCTCCTTGATGTCATTCAGGGTTAAGTCTAAAGGCCACTCCCTCAGGGAGGCCCTCTGGGACCACCCCCAATAGGGCAGCCCCCTGCCCCCCCCACACCACGTGATGCTTGCTATCACATCACCGTTTATTTCCTTTAGGGCAGAACTGATCATTTTCTCTCCCCTCCTTCCACCTTCAACGCTACCACATGCAGACCTTCTGGTCTTATTCACTGCTGCCTGTCCTGTGTAAGTGGCAGAGGGCCTGGCACCTGGCCACCTTGTAATAAACATGGCCAAATGAGGACCCAGCTCAGGACTGAACCAGGTCAGGGCTGTGCATTCACACACATGCATCACACTTTAAATCCGGGCCCTCACTTGTATGGGTGGTGCTGGAGTGTGCCCTGTGTGTGACAAAGTGTCAGCCCTTTGCTGGTGCACAACGGGAGCAGGCCCAGAAATTTCCAGTCGAGTGTGAATCAAAGTGTGTGTGTGAATGTGCAAGCGGTTGAGCCTGCCACTAAACCCAGTGTGAATCAGCCTATGAATGTGATTGTTGCGGGTGTTGGGGGGCGGGGTGCACCGGGTGAGCACAAGGCTGTGACAAGCACTCCTGGGATGACTCCTGGTTCAAATCCCAATAGGCCTACTCATCATGTGGCCTTGGACGAGAGTCCCGCTGACGCGCGACTCCTCACTCCTATACCGCACTCCGTGTTAGGGTCTCTGGGAGGATGGAGTGAGAATCTGGCACAGGTGCCCCGCACACACTAGGTGCTGGCTTAGCTCCAACCCGGCCTCCAGGCCGCCTCTTGACTTTATCAAATGTTGCCCAAGCCTGCTGCTGCTGCTGCTAAACTCTGGGAGACAGAAGGTAAGTGGGTCACAGGTTTGTGGCCACGGTGCTCCAGGTGGGCACACAGCATCCCTCAGCCACAGAGAGAATGCTGGCAGGGTGGTTGCTGTGCCTGGGGAAGATGAAGCGGTCACCATTGCCCTGCGATCCCAGTTTCTCGCTGCACACAAGCAGGGGAAGTGTGTCTGAGCTCACGTCTGTGAGCGTGTCGTCGGGGTGCGCCCCTCCAGCGCACTGCGTCCGCTCTGCGAGGGACCGGTCTTCTTCCCCGAGAACCGACGGCGGGGCGGGGCCAGGTGCACAGGGGGCGTGGCCCGCGCGGATGACGTGAGGGGCCACGCCCATACCTTGGGACAGACCCGGAAGCGGCGGCGGCGGCACCCCTGGGGGAAGATGGCGCCCTCGGGGCTGAAGGCGGTGGTAGGGGAAAGTGAGTGCCGCCGCGCGCCGGGCTCTGGCGTCCCCTGGGGGGCGAGGGCCGGGGGCGCAGGGACTCTGGGGCCCCGGCGGCGGCGGGCAGCTGGGGGCTAGGCGGGGCTTCCGTCGAGCACCTGACGCTCGAGGGGGCGGGCGGGGACTTGGTCCCAGTTGGACGTCCCGGCACCGGCCGGAGCGGAACAAAGTGGAGAGACTGGACTCCGGGGACCCAAGGGCATCACGTTCGGGGTGGCGAGCGCGGGGGCTCGGACTTCGGGGCCCCGTAGGGTGGACGCCCAAACTCCCGGGTCTCACCCCAGCAAAGTCCGGGGGCTGGACTATTGGGGCGCCATGGTGCGGATTGGGGTCGGGTTGGGGGCGCTGCTCAACGCCCCCAAGTGGTGTGAGTGCCCAGAGGGCGTGTCCAGGGCCCCCTTCCAGGTCCAGGGGTGCGACCCTTGCCGGGCCCCCAAGAGCCCCATGCAACGTGAGGGCTCGGGTTCTTGGGGGAAGGTTGGAGGTCGCCCCCTCCCCCGCTTCGGGTAGTTCCGCCTGCAGCTGCTCCTTCCGCCCTGCCCGTCATGATTACAGTGGACAGGACACTGGCTAGGCGGGGCCACCCGACCCTTCTCCACCCCTTCCCTCCACTGGGCAGGGCTCAAAACAGTGTGGCTCAAAACCCCAGCACCCCAACTAAAGAAGGAGCCTCCTACGCAGCGGGTAACGGGGGAGACGGGAAAGCCACTGATTCCATTTTACAGATGAGGAAACTGAGGCTGGAGGTTGGTTGATGGGAGGACCACAGCCAGGCACACGTCTGAGCAGGGAACCAGGGGTCCTGCATTCTAATCTAGGGGAAACTGATGGAGGTGGATTGGGGGGTCTGGCTGAAACCTCCACGCTAGGAGAACTCGAGGTAGCCGATGGGGAAGCAGGGAGCCCAGCTCTGGAGGCAGGTAGACCTGTATGCAAGTCCTGGCTTTCCAGTTATTCATCTAAAACGTATTGATCCAGTGGCTACTTATGCCCCAGGCACTCGGCCACTTAGGCACCGAGGGTGCTTAGGCTAGTCACCTGTCCTCTCTGAACCTCAGTTTCCCTGTATGTAAGTTGGAGGTGACACGAGGAGCCACCTCGCAGGACTAGGGGGCGGAGTAAACAGGGGTTAAGATAGAGGTCCAGTTGAAGACCCAGATGGTTTGAGGTGATGGGGTCAGAGGACCCCACATACTGAGCCCACCTCTCCCTTCCCTGCAGAAATTCTGAGCGGAGTCATTCGGAGCGTCAAAAAGGATGGGGAGTGGAAGGTAGGGGTGAAGCAGAACGCCCTGTCCAAACCCACGTGGGGGCCCTGAACGTGGGACCCCCTCAAACTCCCTGAGGAAGTTGCAGGCCCATGGGGTGGATGGGTAGGCGGGTCTGCGATGGTGGGGTCCTGGTTCCTCTGGTCCAGCTAGCTCTTGAAGCTGTCAGTCCTTCCCAGTGCCCCAGCCCCTCCTCCGGGGCAGCTGCGGCCTCTCCTGCCCACTTGTCGGTCCATTGGTCCATCTGTCTATCCATCCGGACAGGTGCTCATCATGGACCATCCGAGCATGCGCATCTTGTCTTCCTGCTGCAAGATGTCAGAC